CACTAAACATTTCTACCTGTCTGGAAGGATTTTCCCTCCACCTCACAAAAATCTAACCCGGCCCCAAGCACTTACATTAAGGCTTTTGCAAACGCGGATGTACCCTACTTTGAAAATGTTACACATCGTGTACCCTGACCTATACCCAAGTAAACTTTGTCCACATTGCGGGGAAATAGCTTCATTAGAACACATGCTCTGGCAGTGCACCAAATTCGCTCATTTATCGCACATCACCTCTGCCAGATGGGAGGCGGCAATCCGCAGCTCGTCCTTGGCAGATCAGCTCTGGGCTGTCCACCAAGCCCGCGAGGCGGGTGAGGAGCTTGGCATCTCAGTCCCCACGTGGGAGCTGCCCGCAACACAGTGATCTGTGTTTTGGAGGACCAAATAAAAGTTTATCCAATCCAAAGCAACCCTGCGCGGCGGTGCCTCCGAGTATATGACAGGACCGGCACCTGGCATGGCAACGCCGGCGTGACGTGACGAAATGAACGCCGGCGAGCACGCGCACCGCGTCTCGTCAAAATGTATTGGCGTAGTCATGTTCTCACATCACTTTTAGTCATTTTCTCACATGACACGGATCTCATGATTATTATGTTTGCACCAGTCACATACCTTCGTCATCTATTTGAGTCGCGTAATACTGAGTTTGGTACATGTGAAGCTTGCGAAACAGCCGCGAGCGCATCATGAGCGTAGCATGTAGTCATCTTGTTACATGACACGCATCTCATGTTTATCGTGTTTGCACCAGCATCATATCTTCGTCATCCATTCACGTCTCGTAATACCAAATTAGGTATAAGTGAAGCTAGAGAAACGGCCGCCAGCGCATCATGAGCGTGCCATGTAGTCTTGGTATTACATGACACGCATCTAATGATTATCATGTTTGCACCAGTGACATACCTTCGTCATTCATTGACCTACAGTAATACAAAATTTGGTATATGTGGTGCTAGCGAAACGGCCGTGAGCGCATCATGAGCGTGGAACGTAGTCATGTTGTTACATGACATGCATGTCACGCTTTTCATGTTACGGTCTGTCGCTTGTGTTCGACATGCAATCATCTCATACCTTACCAGTTTTTCAACATGCCATGGGAGCGAAACCACCGCCAGAGCTGCAGGACCAAGAAATGTAAATCATGACATTCGTGACATAAATGTCAAGATTTTCATGTTATGACTAGCCAAATATGTTCTTCATACAGTCATGTTATGCCATACCAAGTTTGGTATCGATATCATTATCGACATGGCCAGGAGAGCTAAAAGTCGTAGGCGGCTAGATAGATAGATAGATAGATAGATAGATAGATAGATAGATAGATAGATAGATAGATAGATACACTCAAAGTCGCCGAAGTTCGTTCGGTAATTAATGCTTCACATTTAAAAAAACTCTGGCCTCGTTCTACATGCGATTTGTCATAGAAACCAACTCTAGACTTTTCAGTTGGCCATAATCAGTGCTGAAAAGGGAGGGCGACGCGAGCCGGAGTTGGATGCTGCAATTATTTCTCTCTATTTTTGGTTAGTACTGATCTCACAGCTTAGGGGAGAATGTAAAAAGTGGTTGCATTGTGACCTAGGAGTTCATTTTAAGTGTAAAAATGAAGAAAAGAAACATGAACAGCTTTATTCCTTCCATCACTTATGGTCAGCCCAACAGACACGTTAGGTCAGCAACATTCGCGTAGGGTAATCACAAGTTCTCGCATTCATACAAGGTTATTATGAGACGTTTTACTGTAGAAGCATCCTATGACTATACTTTTCGAGGGAATAACGTTAGTGCGTGTATGTGGGTGTCACAAGTTGGAAGACAAAAAAATTAATCGACGCACTAACAAAATAGGCTGCTTTAGTAGCCGCACAATCGGGGCCGTAGCGAGAAACTTTTTTCGAAGGTGGCCCACTTGTTGGAGGCCCCCAAACAAAAAAAAACCTATTTTTGCTTGTCGTTTGTAGAACACCCCCTCTATCCTGATTTGAAAAGGGAGAGGGGCTTTGGGGCACACCTCCTAACTGCTCACAATGTTACAATATACACTAAAGTTGATGCAACAAAAAAAAGACAAGTAGCCACGAGGTGCAGTCTGCGCAACAAGTAATATTTGCACATAGGGCGTATCACGCAACCTCGGGCTTCTTGTTGAACGACGACCGAGAAAACGCACGAACTTTAAATACTAAGATAGACGAGGTAGCGCATCATGGACAGTTGTAACATCTTGCCCTCACTGCATTTGTCTTGGATTGGCACTTTTAGCTGTCAATAATAAAAGAAAAGGCTGCCAGGTTTTCGTCCGTAAGTAGCTTGCGGTTGGCCGGATGCTTTCACCAGAAACTCCAGTGACGGGATCGGCTTGAGTTTTCTCTGAGAAACGTTTTTAGCGTAAAAAAAAAAAAATTCGTGAAGGTGAGCCGTAACTTTTTACCGACCATGCCATTGCAAGCGGACTTTCATCGTCGCACAATAAAACACCCGTGGATTCCTCTTAAGGAACCCCTCACCCGCGTCAGAAAACACACAGAACGAGCACGCTACTCTCTGCTAGCATTCTCCATATTTTCAGTGCAATCCTTGATGCTATGAGTTTCCTTACGTGACGATATTAGCGAATCCACTTTAGATTGGCCCATAGACGAAGAATATCAGTTCTGAATTGTTTACCACCCTGCCTTGCCATGCGGTCGCACACTCGTTCTCGCTCGCCTCACATGGCTATTGCGCGCGATCAACCGATTTCACTCCGCACACTGACCAGATAGAGCTGCGTTGCTGACACTGCTCCGTCTCAAAGTCTTTGACATTCGCCGATAGGGGCACGCAGAAAATAGACGTGTGATGCTCCCCCCCCCCCCATGTGTAGGGGGGGGGGCATCACACGTCTATTTTCACACGTCATCACCTACCACAACAATCGACCGCACGTCGTGTCGAAACACTCTTTCGGCTAGTTTATCTGCAATGAAATTTATACGGAACCCAACCCACCTCCCTTGTCTTTGCGTTTCTAGCAAGTGTTTACTAGAGTAAACGCTACACCGAGTTTCTCATGAAAGCGTTTTCGCAGCGGGCGTCTCAACCGGGTTGACGCCGCGCGCACCGCTGCTGCTTCTCATTATTACAGTGTCCTATTCGGGGAGGTGGTCCATAATATTTTGCTATTGGACAGAGAGAAATCACAGTGTACAAATAAGCCTTCAAAAAAAAAAAATGAATGCAGAGACGAGGAATGATTAAAAAATTCACAGCATATTCACGGAATTAATGATGATGAGTGGGACGAAGCGTGCGTCCGTCCTTGCGTTCTTGCTTCCGTCCGTTCATGCATCCGTCTGTGCGACAGTGCGCCCATGCATCCACATGTGCGTCCATTTTTGCGTTTGTCCGTGCATCCGTCCCTGCGTCCGTTCATGCGTCCGTTAGAGCATCCATCCATGCGCCCGTCCGTGCATCTGCTCGTCTGTCCGCCCGTCCGTCTAGTGAACACTCCAAGTACTGCCATCTCGCATCTATTCCTTATATATTCAGCATATAGAAGTATCGCCATCCAGCGGACATTACACGGACTAAACGAGAGGTGGCACACGCGCACTTTCTTACGGCCTGCATATCGTGTCTACTTCCCACCTTTCACGGCCTCTAGTTCATGTCTATATAATAGTTCACTATATTCATGACACTGCGGCGAAACCCTCGCTAAACCTTGGTAAAACCGCGGAGCTTACGCCCGGCGAGTTTAACTTTCAGCACTATCTGACCCTTTCTGGTTAGTGCTGAAAGTGCGTCCTTCCGATACTAGTTTTTTTAGTAAGCATCAAATTCAAGGCAAAGTTTATTGAAGAATAAGTCACCAATACTCGTCTATGTAAGTTATTTCTATAGAAATAACTATCTTTTTATTTATGAATAACGTGTCCTGGTGTCCTTCTCAATTGAAAGGGTGCGCGCGTGCCACTCCTTTAGTCCTGCCATGGAGGTGGCTGCCTACTGCTACTACTACGTACATCAAGGACATTTGACGCACGGCATAGGGAGCTTCATCCCTAAAAATGGCAGGACGCCGTAACTATAGGGGATTTCAAGCACTTTCTAAGCATTCCTTACGTGATTGGCATGAACCTCAGCAAAAGTGGTAATTGCTTAATTTAGATAGGCTGCAAGTGGCACTTTTGAAGCCAGCCGGCCGCGCAGAACGCAGCCCCACATTGTGTACGGTTGCTTCTGGCATAAAGTTGCCTTCGTACAGCCTTGCGCGAAAGAAGTCTTCTTGAGTGACCGTCAATAATGGGGTGGCTGTATCGTTGTATATGTTCTAACTTTGCAAAACTACGGCTTGTTTCGGCCCTGATGGACGGCTTGGGCGACTGCTTTATACCATTTGACGTTCTCTTCCCTTGGTTTCTTTCTTTTAAGATCTAGACTCAAGTGCACTGTTTCTGAGTGTGCGTGAGTGTGTGTACGCGCACATGTGGGTGTTTGTGCACATGCGTGCGCGTTTGATTGTTTCCTTCAACAAAGAAAAGAAGCAGAACTGCATTTCAATTCTCACGCATGGGCGGATCCTCAAATGCGAAGAAGGAATGGTTCCAAGCAGCGCTAATCCCCACCGCGCGCGGCATCAGCAGAAACAGTGCGGCAACGCCAAATCCTGTGCGAGTGTTCTTTCTTACTTCAGCCTAGATTTGTCCCTTTCCCATCCTCTCTTCTTTCTTCGAAACACCCACACGCTTGCTTTAACTAGCAGGGATGAGAAGGACAGTACGCTTCGAGTGTTTACAGTTTCTTTTGTGTGCAGTTTCAACCATCTCAGGTGTATTGCGTTTTTATTGAGCGCTGTTTTTGACGCACACCACTGTCTGAACGTTTCTCGTGTCTGCATGTGCTGTCTTTTTTCCCGCTCCCTGGAGCGAAACCGTTCCTTCGATCGTCTTTCGTTCTGCTGCTGCCTGTTACACACTAATCGCTACACGTTTCAGGGGATGCTTGTCTTTATGGCGTGCGGACTGGAGGAAAAGCTGCTTAGCGAGGCGAAAGCACAAGTCCTGCTGCTGTAAGGCAACACCGCTTTCCTTCGTTTTTCTTCCGTCTCGCATGCACCCTATAGAACACTTGCACAATTCGAACACACACACTTTTTTATGTTCCTTCTCGATTTCAATGCGGAGAAGCTTTCCGTCTTGTGTACCAGCCAGTTTGTACACTTTTATTTCGTCTTACTTTACCTGCAAAACTTAAAGCCGGCTTAATAGGAGGCGCAATGTGTCACAAAACAAAACAGGTCAAGAAAAAGAAAAGAGGGGATCTAAGGATGAAACAGTGGGTAGCTGGCGCAATACAGGCTCAGCTTCGATGCCAACTCAAGATTTCGTAGTGATGCTCAAAGCGATTCATGTTCGCTGCAGAAAAGACAAACACAAAAGAAAATCAGCTGTTGTAAGGCATTGCGCTTTATCGTAGCTCTTCATTCTACAAGCTTGCTTCTAAATGCTCCTTAAAGCTAGAGCCTGCTCCCATCTTTTATCCAGAGTAGTGTAGATCCTTAGATCTTGTCACATCCTATTTCTGCCTGCTCTGTTTGTTTTACTTCTTTCTCTTCAAGAACAACAAACTACATACGAAGGCCAACAACGTTTCAGGTTGCGAGGAGCAGGCGGTAAATTGAGGCGCCCCAAGCAGGGGACGGTCCTCTCGGCCGGATTACTGAACACAAACGAAATAGTCTGCCACCAGTTCAACGTCTACCATCGCCGAGCCTTTGAAATATTCTTGGACGAGACAGAAGTGTAAGTTGCTGGATCTTCTCAGTTGTTACTCGCGTCTGCGTATGTGAGTAAGGCGGGTGGCGACAAAAGACACTTTCACACTTATAGATCTTAAGACACTATATTGATTCTAACAGACAAGGCGTGCGAATACGGACACAAGAAAAAAAGTCATGACGTCACAAACGCTGTTTGCGCGCTTTGTCTTTCAGAATTGATAGTTGCGAACTAACTTAGGTGCATGCTATTCTAAACCCTGGGTTCAGAAGTGGTCGGTGCTTTAATGTGCACTTTACGTGGTTCATCAAACTTGTTTTGCCGTAAAAGAGATCCCGGGTTTGATGCTTGAGGGACACAAAGACAATAAAACTGATTTATTAAAAAAAAACAGCATCAATAGGAAGCACTAATTGTAGTAAAAAGAAACAAGTTAGCAGTTTTGGCGTGTTTTAAGAACGTCGAAAGCATACACGGCAAATATATATTTGCTTAAACGTATTTTCTTTTTAGTGTTTCTGCATTCGCTTAAGTTGTGGCCGTTACCGTGGTTCGCACGCTCGTTAATGTAACGAGGAAAAAAAATGTACAAAATTTTGTCTGAATAAATTTGCAGGACATGAATCCCCTCACCGCTGTATTCACAGATTGAGTCTATAACGTTTCAGACGTTCGAGAAGCTTTACCAAGAAGTACGGCTTCACAATACTGCTTCCAGTTATAGCTCGTCTCACTCGTGTCATAGAACTGCTTCATGCGCAAAAGTTTTTGTTTTCTTTTCTGATAGCGGCGCGAGGTTCGCGTTTGTTTAGTGTACGAAACAATTAACCTGCCTCCTGTATCCTTCTCATCATGCAGCGGCTATCTAGCGCCTTCGAATCGATCCGGCTTCCACGGACACCGGCTTGTGAATTGGCTACTGGATGCGGGCCTGGTCAGGAGCCGCGATGAAGGCGTGGTCTACGGAAGACGCCTGCTCGACGGAGGACTTTTAGCACACGCTGAACGTGCCATGCACTTCTACGACGGACCGTACGACTACGTCTTCGTGTTTTAGGGTGTACGTGCAATGAAGAGTTGTGCCGACGGATGTTGTTACAAGATCCCGAATTGTAGTGTCATAATCACTCTCAGAATTGTCTTAGTATGGCTGTGTAAAGCTCTGAGTTGGGTGGGGGATGTGACTGCGGGAAACACACTGATAGGGAGATGCAGCATATCTTAGTAAGACAGAAATATTCACTATCACTATTATTGTCCACGTCACCTAAAACACAGTTTATTAAACGGGATTTGCAGGGTCCAGGAGTCACGTGACGCCAATACCAGAGATCCCCAAAATTCATCCTTGAAAAAAAGAGAGAGAAAAAAAAGAAAGAAGTGACGATGCGTGCTTTGGACACACACTATTGAAACAACCCCGTCTGACTTCTGGTATGCTTCACTGCAATAAACATAGGCATTGTGGCGCAGCTGCTAACTTCCGTTTCCCTTCGGTACGACACGTCTGAAGTTTTTGTTAGTTTTCGGCGACATACAAACGCGAACATACTTTCGTAGGCCTTTATATTTCCATATTTTTGGCTAGGATTGCATATTTTACGGGCTTGTATATATTATATGCATGGAGAGAAGCAACTTGAATGTCGCTCCAGACAGTTAAACTTGTCAACAAGCTGTTCTGATTATATGGACATTTGTCAATTGGTATTTTAATTTTGCGATTCTTAGCCAGTGAGGAATAAAATTCACCTATTTCATTCTGCCTTCTGTTTACTTTTGGTATCCTACGCTCGCAGATATTAACAACATATCTTGCACATTTGCAATGAAAAAACGGCATTCGTAGGGGGCAGCACTGTTAACGCACTAGAATATTGATGACAACACAATATCTAGCAAATTACTTTATTGTGGACACAAGGCGACCCATAATAGAGTATCAGCTGCAGTTAAGAGCTTTAAGCGGGACACCCCGAAGTTTATTATAGTGTCTTGTCGATACTTGAAGCTGTAAGAAGTGGGCGCAGGGACGGCAGCTGCTGATCACTGAATCGGACTCAATCAGGAAGAGAGAGCATAGTTTTTTGTAAGTTGCGATTCTGGAAACGGGAACATGCACAGCGCTTTCTACGGAGATCCAAGCAAGATACAAAGCACGAGGAAAACTGAATTTAATGCTTCGGTTCACGACTTTTTCCTTCGATGTAATCTAGTCAGGACTCCCATATGGTCCTCGCATATTCTGCGGAAGCCGGCTACAACAAGGTAACCACACACGAGGGCCGGCTAGCAGTTGGTCTTTGGGCACTTACAGACAGGACAGGGTCCATGCAAAAGTACTTGACATCTTCCGCGTGTTTTTTCAGTTAAGATCTGTATAAGCTGTCTCCATCTGACACAATTCCAGCCAGGGTGACTTCGTTGGAAGCTTGTGCGTCATCGGACAATTGGTGCAGTTTTCTCGTATGAAGTAACCGACGTGACCAAGTTCATCGAAAGGCGGCACCACCAATGTGGATGAAACTCCAACAGAAGCAACGCCATCCTTAGCACCTGACGTCATTGTGCCCTTTCATGGCGCAGAAACGCGTGACGATAGATTCGTCACTCTTGCACGTCGCACGTTGGTTTATTCAACAGGGCAGAAACACGATGAACAAGACTCCTTGGAAGGCGTGCCAGAATCCTATTCAGTCACGTTCAGCTCCTCGTAGTTTGTTTCATCGAAGCTTGGTGAATTGAGTTCATTCACTGTTCCCAATGCATCAAGCCGACGCTCCAAGCACAGAACAGCGGATATTATTCCATCAACGCTTGACACAGATGCGAAATGCGCCGTTTGTTGCTTGCTACGCGTTGCGGCAAAGTACGCAGCCGGTACTTTGCTTGGTACTTTGCTTACATTAGCCGGTACCTTGCTAATGTCTTTCTTGCGCCGAGAGCTCCTCATTGCAGGCCGCTCCCTCGTGGTGTCTGCACGGCTGCGGAATGGGTGGGTGGTGGACCCGACTACTCTTCCGTCGGGTGCGCGCTCTCCAAGCAGTGGTAGTAGGCGTTCCTCTTATCGCTACTGCACCGGAACGCGTCCTGCAGCTCGTCGAGGCCTTGTAGTGCCGCCGTGATTTTACGGAGGAAGAAGCGTATCTTTACCGAGCTCCACCAGTGCGAAGTTCCTGTGATAGAATCGGTCATATGCTGTTACAATCCGCTGAAGCAGGATCACACTGCGGAAATTCAGTAGCGTTTAGCTTAGTATCATTCTCCTCAAAGTGCTCGGACATTATACTCCTTGGCAGGAAACGCCATATGGACCAGAGCTTCAGCCTAACATTACAAAAGAAAAGTTGAAACTTTTGACCTGAAATTCAAACGCCCCGAACAAACCCTTTTCGAAGTGAATTGCACGACTGGGCCCATTACAAAATAACGACTTTCGCCGATACTCGGTGTTATTTGCAACGTGCGTTTTTGTTAAATAGCACTATAGCTGCGATATTTATTTGAACTGCTCATGAAGCCAAGTTCTCTCAGAAAACGCGTTCTCAAGAAGAGGAGCACCATACGCACGCTGACTTTCTACAAAGCCTCCTCTACTGTCCTCATCTGATTGAGCTCCCCGCATTGTTGCTATTATGCTGGCCTCAGCACTACGCAAACAAAGTAAATATTTGCAGGAAAACATGCACCTGAACAGTATAGCTGTTTTTCAAGAATTTCTTTATAATATATCTGTAGCTAGCGAAAAGTTTTAGTAATGGCGGCGAGTAATTCACAAAAAGGAATACGATCTTTTACAAAAGGTCTGAGCCAACACCACCTACAGTGATCTCTTAGGTCTAGCTGGTGTTGCCTGGGCACAATCGTACTGGCACGCAAGCACTGAGAAAACATAAATTGGGGAGTATGCCATAGTGAGAGGCTTCGGACTAATCTTAACCAAGGGTAATTAAAAAACACTCATAAAAATGTGGTACACGGTCGTCCTTGCATTGCTGCATAACATATTCGAAAGAAATTTTGGTTGCAGAGGCGCTAAGCCAAACCACTGAGGTTGTTCTCCAGAGCACAGTGCAACGCCAGAGCAAGGGGCCACTGCAGTGGATGCTAAGGTACTATAGCCTGAAACTTTAATAAGCAGGTTGCGTGTTTAGTGATTCAAATGTATATTGAAAACTTGAATTGATGTGTGCACTATTTTATGTCAAAAATCACGCGGTCCTGTCTGCACCCATTACGTGAGCCTGAGTTCCCGACAGATATTTTATGAACAGTTCGGCTAACCTAATATTTTTGAAGGTGCAGCGAAAATTAGTGATATGCAAACAGCCTAACGGTTTCAGTTCAGTGTCATTTAGGACCAAATTGGTTGACAGGGGGAAAGTGAAATTATGAAAAAAGGATTTGAGGTAAACCAAAATCTCACTTGGTTGAATACCCTAGATGTGACGCGGTACATCATTATGACAACAACAATGGACCAATTAACCGAAACACCAGTGCAATGGTGCAAAATGACTAAACACTCAAATGATCATACCTGTCTCTGACAATTGAGCAGAGCGTGCGCACGGTGCTGAGCATGAACAACTGATCAGGATTCGACTCGACGCTTCCACCAGGCACAATGTCATCGTCGTCCGTGCCCAGCGCGTAGTGGTACGCGTTGTACGCCGCGCGCACCGTCATCATGGTGAAGGTGACTACCTCATGCTCTTGGTTCTCGTCCAGACTGCCACTTGACTCCTCCGTCTTGCGGAACACCTTGTTGTTGATGCACCGAGTGCGTTTGCGCCACCGGGCGTCGGTGTCGTCGAAGAAGAAGCGAAAGAACTCGCGCACCATGTCGTGCAGTATAAGCACCCCAAGGCCTCCGTAGTTGATAGCCAGTGGGACGTTGGGGTCGAAGTAGGGTGGCTGCAGTAGCCCCGCAGGAAGAAGGAGAGCGTTTTCGTTCACGTCGAAGACGAGCGCTTGTCTCATGTTATATCGGTGCAAATATAGGTCCGCAATGTGCCCTGGGAATATGAAGGAGTGCAGGGGCCGCATGTTGATTCCCTTGAGCAGGTCATCGTTGTTTGTGTGATTGTCCGCAACTAGACGTCCTAGCCTGTAGTGACTGCGGAGAAACCGGTTCGAGAGCTGCTGGAAGAGCGGCAGGAACCGATATTTGGCCGTGTGCCGAGTGGCGAGGTCGAACATGGTGAAGAAGGCGTCTTTTGTGATGTCGAAGGTGAAGCTCTCATAGTAGCGGTCGAGTGTATTGTCGTCGGCGACCCACTTGGGGATACCGACCATCGTATTTAATTTGGTCAGGTAGTTGGACGCGTTGACCTTGGCCTCAGAATCAAGCCACATGGCTTGCGAGAGCATGTACTTGAAGCTGAAAATTACCTTAGAGACGAGTTCTTGCACGGCGAACAGAGTCTTCATGCGCGTCATGGCCTCCACGTAAACTCGCCCCATTCCAATCGGCATAACGTCATTCGTTATGAAAAGACACTTCTTCCACTCCTCGATATGCGACTCGTTCAGCTTCAGAGAACGGAACTCGGTGATCTTACTTCTGAGAGCGGGAAAGGCGAGTGGCCCGTAAAAGTAAAATATGCGCCAACCAATGTAATTCACAGCGCGTCCTTCTTTCGGCGGGTTGCGGAGACTGGCCATGTATTTAAGATAGTCGAATGATCTGAGCAGCACTTTAGTGTTGTCGTCGATGACAATGCCGGTATCGTTTCCAACAACTTCCTGTAGGAAAGAATCCCAGGGGAACTTCTTCACCTTCTCCTTCAATTGGCCCAAAGGGTACCTTCTAAGCTTCCGTCTGTGACAATATCTTCTCGTTACGTACGCGTTGTTAATTTCAAAAGATACAATGTTTTTCACCAGTGATAAAGGGACATCTACGTTCTTGTACAACTTAATCAAGTTCATTACCAACGCCGTGTAATCGTTTTTGTCTGCATCGTTTCGCGTCAGGAGCCAATACCTTGGGAAAGGGAACCTCGGACAGTCCAACGACAAGAGTATGTCGTTTGACCCCTCGTCATCGATGTCGCTGCTGGCGCGCGTGATACGGAGCATTCTCGCCGTGCCTATGGAGAGAAGAGCCGGCTCACTCGTGCGGCGTAGAAACTTCGCCAGGATTGACTCGTATGGCTTGAAGGTGCTTTCGAATGGCCAGCCTGCGAGGCTGTAGACGTTATCCATCATATGTTTGAGAAGATCGCGATTGTCCGCATTGCCTTCCGACACGCACCTACGATAAAGAATTGACACCTTGTGCTGCGTTCGCAGCGGCACCGAGAGGGGCATCGTCTCGAGGTAGCGCTTCAGGTCGCTGTACATGTCGTCGATGTAGAGCCGCGCCGAACCGAGCATCCACTTCTGGTATATCTCTTCGTCGGCCCTGATCCAACGGCCACACGCGTGCTCCAAGATGTCCTTGCAGGGTAGAATGTCCACGTCGACGCCGTAGTTGATGGCGTGCCCAACGGCGCCGCAACGCGGTTTGTTGCACATGTGCATCTCGCGGATGGAACGGATCAGCGGTGGACTCGTCTCGGCGGGCGTGGTGACCTCCGTCGGCTTCTGGGTCACGAACAGGTGCTTCGTGATGTTGGACCAGATAATCAGGAACACGAAAGCAAAGATGTTACCTAGGAGCAGCAGGCACGGTATGGACTTGAGGTCTCGCGCGACGCGCTTGAAGTACTCGTCGGCGAAGGAGCGCTTCCTGGTGAGGTCGACGTCCGAGTCACCGTACCGGTCGATGGACTTGCAGCGCGCGGTCACCTTCTGGCGGGGTACGGTGCCCGCCATCACTGGGGCGTCCTCGTTGTCCTCCATGCTGGCGTCGAGCCGCGGGCCACGCCAACAGCGTAGCTCACTTAATGAGAGGCTAAGCGCTTGGTTTGGCGGGCGGTCACCAGGACGGCGACCCGGCTGAAGGTGAAGCCAGCAGGCTGCTGTGGCGGCTAGCTACGTCTTCTCAACCAGTGTCAGTGGACTGACGGCAGAACGCCGCCACTGGAAGATCCAGGCGCGAGACGCATCCGCTTTTGATGATGATGATGATGATCCTTGTTATGCTGGCGCACACCCACGAAGGAGGATCAGCCAAGAAAGGCGCCATGCTTCTTTTTTCTTGCCGAGCACGAACGGCCGTTCATTTGCACTGTAACTTTATTCTCCACCGACATTATACTGTACTGTATTCATTGCACTCAATGTATCTTCATACCACATTCGTCATTTTCTGCAGGATGACTGCCCGCTTCTATACAATACTCTTTGACTGGTCGTACTTCTTGTATTCGTTTCTTATTTTCTTACTCTAGAAATGAATTTATAGTACTGTGCCATGTCTCTTGCCACTTTCTTAACAATACACTATCTCGAGGCTTTCACTAAACGAATCGTTGTCGCAGCAAGCTTTGGCTAAAACTTTTAGACGATCTCGTCAAATGGACTTTCTGTTTTACCTAACGGATACATATACTGCTCCCCGGGTACGTTCAGTTGCGTTCAGTTCCATACCTTGGCAATTAGACGATGTATATCTGAAACTAGTGTCCAGTTTTGTCATGTTAAAAGGGGTAGGTATGCCGCAACTTTGACGACCGGCAACTGTCTCATACAAAATGATATCCTCGAGTCGATAATTGAAACGTTAATTCACAAGTTGTTGCTAAGTAGTCAATAAATATCGCTCGAAACTGTGAGCAAGTAGTTCCGCTTAGAAGTAGAGTTTTCTAGAGAAGACAACAGGAGTAACAATAACAGAGAATAGTAAGCGTAGGAAGAAAATAAATATTTCGAGTATAAAAGAACTCATTTTTGGGCTAGTCGGTGCTTATATTGCTTAGGTATGTTTGTATGTGACATGAAAGCGATTTCACAAAACAAAAACGGAGAGGGGGGCTACATGAGGTTATACACTCTGTGGTTTTTGGTTACATACGTGAAACATAGGGATTACCATGTATTGCGGGTTGACACTATTCACTTAAAATCGACAAGCATCCCATCTAATAGTCTGACTGTTCGTTCTACAAAATTTTCATTTGTTAGCTGAGTTTTCTTTTAGACTAAAGTTACAGCGTACATTTTTTGATTGATTGATTGATATGTGGGGTTTAAGGTCCCAAAACCACCATATGATTATGAGAGACTCCGTAGTGGAGGGCTCCGGAAATTTTGACCACCGGTGTAAGTTTTTTATATTTATAGATGTTTAACTCTAAGATACTGCCACCTGGTTCTAGGCCTATCCCCTTTTGTGGCTGGGTGCCATCAGCGAAAGGTTACCATCATCATCAGCAGCAGCACCACCATCATCATAAACTAGTGCAACGTATCAGAAAAGAATGCGCCCTTAACTTTCTTTCCTTCTAACTCGTCCCGTTCCTCCTTTTCTTTTAGGGCTGAAGCTCCTTCGGGTGTGGGTCTGTCCATCCCCCGTTGATGTATGTAGCCACCGATGGCACATACCCGTTCTAGAGATGGCAGTACTTGGAGTGCTCACTAGATGGATACACGGGAATATGCATGGACGGACGGGCATGCAGACTAGCAGATGGACGGACGGATGGATGGACACGCGGAGCGGATATGTGCCACAGGGGATGCGAGATGCGAGATGGCGGTACTTAGAGTATCCACTAGATGGATGCATGGACACACGCGCGGACGTATGGACGGATGGACGCACAAACTAACGGAGAGATCGATGGACGGACTCATAAATGGACGCATGCACAGATGGACGGACGCATGAATGAACGCGCAGATGGTCGCGCGGGTGGACGAAAGCAAGAACGCACGGACGGACCGAACCACGAACTGGCTGACGGAAGCTTGGCCCCCCTCATCATCGCTCACGCCCAGGCCAAGCGTATCCAAGTAGAGTAGAGACACCATAGAAAATGTAGCCGGTACACAAGATTGGTTTTTAAGGGGAACTGCTGTGCATTTTCGACTATATTGAGATAATGCCGTTTTTTAAAGAAAGTATTAACAACACTCTAACAGATAGGGTGGTTCATTTTGACGGGCGGATCGTCAATATTATAAATAAACAATAAACCATGAGTCCAACCAGAAACTAAAACAGGGAGCCGCTCCATGTGGGTATAGGAGGAAGTCACAAAACTAAGGCTGCGCGCGGCCATGGCTAGCCAAGGTGTAAACATAGCACACGTGCTCCCCCTATCCCACGAAAAATAAGCTGGCGATGTAATCACACGAAGGGTCAAGCTGTGCCAGCCTGTCTGAACTTACCAGTGGCAAGTTCAGCGAAGATTGCACCAGCGCGTGAAGCAGCCGACTTGCTATTCTCGCGCTGTCATCGCCATATGGATGAAAGCGTGCGCTGCATTCGTGTGCTGGGCGAGGCGAGGTAGAAATACTGGACACATACGTCACGTACACAGGGTCGCCCACATTTGTAAACATGATTCCTGAATTGTCTACCTATTTTAGCATTCTGTTTCTAAAAGCTAAATTGTTTAGGGTTGTATAATTCGGCACATATTGTCAACGTGTCAAAGCAACGTATACGCTGAAAGGTTTATTGAAACAGAGGAATATGAAAAAATTCCCGGGGTTACTTTTTATAAAAAGAATTCTTATTTTATGGGTTACACATTGCTTATTTGGGATGAAATAAATAAATAAACAATGTGATTATCTGAGATGAAATAGAAAGAAGAAGAAGTGAATGAAAGAAGCCCGTAGCTTCATTTCGCTCTCTTAATTCAAGAAGAACGGCAATTTGGGCTAGCTGGTTTGAATTCATGGTAATAAAGGCTGCAGCACGAGCACGAAGGTGCTAGAAGAAATAGATGAAAGGCGAGGCAAAGAAAGCAAAGCAGCGCTCGTGTTGTCCTCTTTGCTTTTTTTGCCTCGCCTTTCGTCTATTTCTTCTAGCACCTTCGTGCTCGCGCTGCAGCCCTTATTACCATGAATTCTCCTAATTCAGTTATGATATTGAGTTCAGGATCTTTTTACGGTGTGTGCGGTGAGTGTATTGTCTCCAGAGTGGTAGCTAAACATCGGTGAGTCGGAGTTTCACTACGCATCGCGATCAGAATGGCCCCTTAGCGGGCCCGTGCCTCATACCTGGCAAAGCCTGGGTATGGGGGACAACGAGATGCCGCTAGCGCCAAGCGGAGCACCACTTATCCATCCCGCTCGACTTCAAGTTGCTGCAGGCTCAGCAACAATATCGACGTCCCATACAGAGAACAGAGAGGCCTCGCAGTGTAAGAAGAGGCGTACAGAGGAGGAAGAAGAGGTTGACAAAGATGACGCCACATCGACGTACTCCCTAATGACATGACACAGATGGATACAGAAGCACCCAAGGAAGACGAGGGAGATTACACGGTGGTCCCCCATCACAAGAACCGAGCTACGGGGATACCGGTGGTGTTCAGACCAATCGCTGCCAAGGACTCCTTCTGGAAGGTGAATTCAAATCGCCTGGCATCTGAGATAATCTCTGCTATCAATGAGAAAGTGACATCATCACGAATCAACAGAGACGGAAGTTTTTGTGTTGGAATACGGTCTTTGTACTCGGCAAACGAGTTGCTGCTGATCAAGAGTCTGGCTGAATTGCCTGTACATGTGATGATACCTCAGTCTTACATGAAGACCCTAGCAAAGATAAAAGATGTTCCACTCGAATACAGTGATTACGACCTACTGGATTATCCTAAAGATGCTGGAGTAATCTCAGTCACATGACAAAAGAGATGGGCAAGAAATTAAGATGGAAGTGCCACAATGCAGCGCATACGTAATGTGATACTCCATTTTAGACATGACATGCCATTGCCAAAAAGTGTTGCTCTGTACACATTGTCGAGGAATACATTGAGCCAGCGGTAAGGTGTTACAACTGCCAGAAATATGGGCATAAGGCTAAGACTTGCAGGGGAACCGAGAGATGCAAGGTATGTGCGGGCGCACATGATTATAAAGAATGCTCCTCGAAGCATCAACCTAAGTGTGCCAACTGTGCTGGACCACCTCCAGCGTCGTTTTCAGGCTGCTCTCGAAACCGTTTGGCATCAGCGGCCCAAAGAGAGAGAATTGTAAAAGGGTACCATAAGGTACAAAGAGGTCCAGCACCCAATTCGAATATAGTCGATGATGTTCCTGCGGCATAAAGAAATGCAAAACAGTGGCACCACGACTCTTACTCGGAAGTATTGAAGCGCTCAGCACCAAAACATCGCGTTGGCAAGAAAGTCTGGGCCCAGGAACATGCTGAAGTGGAACTTTCTGCCGGGCCAGACACAGCCAAGGAGCCACTGACTACCAAAGGGAAAGGTCACAGCAGCTTGCTGTGGAAAAGTTCTTCAAGAAATGCGATCTCGGCGCAGACAGCCGGAAACGAGCAAGTCATTTTGCCAATAATCTTTGCGGCTCTTAAAGCAATTCTACTATCCCTGCCACAAGCAGGTTCTTTACCAGAAGTGAAATTGCTGCTAGATGTTCAGCATCTTCTCTTGTCGTAATCATGGCCACCGGACTACCTAACTGGTACAAAATAAGTGCAATATTCCAGTGGAACTGCAACGGTTTGCAGAATAAGAGTGGAGATTTTCAGAAATTCGTCGCTCAGCATGGGTTTCCGATTTTGTGTATTTCCGAAACAAGAGTATCCACTAACTTTCGCTTGTCCAATTATGTGGTGTACCAAGCAGAACGTCCTGCTGGAAAAAGCAGAGTGATGTTGTGTGTGAGACGCGATATTCCGCCGAAACTTGTGGCTAGTTCAAAAACAGATGCGCCGGAATTTGTTAGATGCAAGGTGAAGTTTAGTAACGTTACTGTAA